CTCGCTCGCTCCCGCCGCCGGGCCTCCTGGGGGTGCGACGGAGACGGGCGTTTCGCGGGGTCTAGAACAACAGGAGGGGAGGGGGTGGGGGGGGAAGGGAGCAGGAGGCTTTTTGCGCGAAGTGGGTGGAGGCGAGGCGTGTGTTTGGCGCTAATGTACGAATGGCACTCACCCCCCTGTCCCCCCCTGCACCCACCGGACTGCCCCGCCCCGAGCACCGCTCCACCGAGCCCACGGCAAGCTTTAGTCTGCGATCGGTGTCCGTCGGGAGGCGAACGTGGCCGTCGTCTGTCGTCCTCCGCGTGCCTCGCCCCCGCCCCTCGCTCGATGTCGGGGTGGTCGTCCTTCCCGTCGGTCTATCGTCGCGGCCGTGGCGCTTGTTGTGGTGGTGTGGGCATGGAAATCCGGCTGCTAACCGCCGTCCTGGGTACTTACAGATTATAGCGATACGGGTTTGCTTATCGGCTCTCGAGGGATACCTTTTCAAGTGGGTCCCCCTTCTGATAGCGTTCAGAGGAAGTCCCGCAATTAATGGAAATGTTCTTTTGATTTGATGGAGGGGATGTGCTGCTGGGTTTTATGCCAAGTGAATTCTATCCTGCGGGGGGTGCGGGGGCCTCAGCCAGCCCGGGCCTCTGCATTACAGTGGTGGTTGTTCCACATATCCATTGGCTGATCGGATCGGCCCCGCGCACAAAGGCGCCGCCCCGCCCCGGTGGCTCCCCTCAGGACGACTGGCCCGCCCCGCCCCACCCCCACGACGCAAGACGGATGGTCGCGGAGACAGGCATCCAACAGGCATCCCGCCCCGCCCCAACTACCCAGGCATTCGCCCGTCTATACGTAGATTTGGCGGAGGCGTCGAACCGACACAAAAAGTGTTGCGGAAGCCGAGACCCGACGTACGCCCTCGCCGGGACACCTTGCTTTAGCGCGAGGTGGACGGGACATGTTGTTGTTCATCCTCTCCGCAGCCTCGAGCTAAACAGTTGTCGGAAGGTGCTCTTGTTCCCACGGCTATAGCCTTCCTCGCCTACGCCGCTGCTTGACCGCCGCCTCTCTTCTCTAGTATGTGCGATTGACTTCCGGTGTCGGGGCTCATTAGAGAGCAGGCGCCAAGAGGCGCCGGCGCCCCGGGCCGGCGGGTCTGGCGGCGGGGCGCCTGCGAGGTCACGGGTAGGCAGACCCGCGGCGCACGCGTGTCGGGTGTCAGCCGCCGCGGCCTACCTCCGGGCGCCCAGGCTGAGGAGGTAGCGCCTGCGAGGTCACGGGTAGGCAGACCCGCGGCGCGCGCGTGTCAGCCGCGGCGGCCTATCTCCGGGCGCACGGGCTGAGGGGTAGCGCCAGTAGTAATACGCTCCCGTATTAGTACTAGCGCCTGCGAGTTCACGGGTAGGCAGACCCGCGGCGCACCCGTGTCGTCGGCGGCGGCCTACCTCCGGGCGCTCAGCTGCAGCCCCTTCCTCATGGAGGCTGCTCCAGCCGTCCCTTTTCCCGAGCTGCTTGGCTTGGAAGGTATCGTAAAGTGGGGGACATGCCATTTATCTCGATCGGCGCGCTGGACTAGGCCATTGGAGAGGCCCCGGGGAGGGGGATGGGGATGGGGGAGTGGTTACGACTTGGACCGTGCGAGAGTGCTGGGGGTAGTAGGGGTGGGGGCGCCCCCTTTTTACGAGGTCCTGCGCAGGGTCCCTTGCCTTGGGCCGCTTGACCCTCGCCTCTCGAGAGGGAGAGCTGGCTCAGGCCAAGTCATCTTCTCAGTACGGCTTCACGATCGATGCCATGCGATGCCCAGTGGCTCCGTCCCGCGCCTTCATTTTCATAGCCCCGCGCGTCTTAGTGTGATTGCCATCCCTCCCCTCCCCTTTCTCTTGCCCTTGCCCCTCTTTATCTCTGGCTCCCCATCTCTCCTTTTCTAGGCTCCCTAGACCGCGCGACCCCCTTTTCTATTTTGTTTTGTTTTGGTTGGGCCGTTGAGCCTTCTCATGATGGACGCGGTACTTAATCAAAAGGAAAACAACAATAATATAATGGTTGTGTTTCTCGTGCGTGGTGATATGGTGACTCATCCGGACAGCCCTATAGCAGATACGCGATGGTAGCCGCCTGTGTTTGAGGAGGAGTGTGTGCGAGGTGCGAAGCAGGACTTGTGTTCGCAAGAAGTATGGCACCGCCCAGGAGTGTCCGTCGGCCAAGCTTTCTCACCAACGGTTCCGTCTACAACCGGCGCAGCAGTATCCTCCACAGAGGTACCCGTGGTGGTACCCAGGGTGGTACCCGAGGTGGTGCCCGTGGTGGTGCCCGCCTCCACAGTGCGCCACGGGCAGCGCGCAGCCAGTAGCTTGCACTGCAAGCGCTCCGTGTTATTGCAAAGTTTGACAGTTAGTGTGTGTTGCCCTCCTCCGCCGCACGCCCTAACACATCCCCCCGCCTTGCAACCCCCTCCCCCTTCCTCTCTTCTTATTTCGCTGCCATTTCTTTCGCGCGCACTCGGATCAACCGACCAAGCGTAGCCGCGCTTCGCTTTTGCCTTCCACTGTGTTTGTTGTTTGGGGCGCTCGACGATCCCGCCGCCGCGCTTGCCATTTTGACTTGACAGCAGGCAGGGGGGCGTTGAGGCGCGCCCGTGGAGCGAGCGAGGAGGTGTTTTGAAAATAGGTTTTGTGGCCCTAAATGTTTGGGATAACCAAATTTTATAGTCGATCGTCGCCTCTTGACTCTCCCTCCCTCCCTTCTCTCGGCACAGAGGGCACAGACTAAAATTTGTTTTTCTTTTTCTCTCCTTTTATCCAGCCCATGCCGTGGAGTTCGACGACAACGATGCCGTCCCCTCGGCTCCGCCCCTCAACCTCATGGACCAGGTGTCGGGCTACGAGAGCGTGTCGTTCGACGCGGGTAAGCTGCAAACCTTCACTTTTACAATGTATACTTGGCACTGGCTATTTTCTTGTACGACTTTCTCCCAATTTCCTTCAATTTGCTAGACCAAAAACATTTTCGCTTGCTGCGCGCCTTCAGATGCAGTTGGTCTGACGCCACTCCCGCCCACTCATAGCTAGGCGCCCCTCTCAGCCAGTCGATAAAACTCAAGAGGCATCATCGAGCCGAAGCGGCGCGGCCGGCGCGGCGATCGGAATACGCTGCCTTTGAGGCGCGGCCGGGAACCCATATCCTCATATCCTTGAAATGTTTGTTTTGGTTTGTGAGTGTGGGCGTCCTTTTGCCGCCGGGGTGGGGTGTGGGTCTGCCTCCCTTCGCTTCCTGCGCTCGCTTCCCCTGACCGCAACGACTTCCAGGGACTGCGGCTCCTGCTAAAAGTAATTGACAGAGCAAAGTTCCCCGCGCAGTCTCCCGCGCACTCGCCGGGCAACTTCACTGGCGTCTTATCTCTTATCGCAGACACTTCCGGCCCGTGCCTCTTGTGCCATACTATCGGTGATTGACGCTTGTCCTTCTCTGCTCCAGTCAGCGTGCCCCCGCCCGAGGACCCGCCGCCCGCCACCCCCGGGGAGGAGGACGCCGCCGGGCCGTCGGGTGCCGGGGACGGTGGAGGAGGTGGTGACGGCGGCGGCCCCATGGGCGGCGACCCCATGGGCGGCCCCCAGGCCTCGGGGGTGGCCCGCTGGGGACACACGCTGTCCGAGCAGGAGGCCCGCGCCGCCCTCGTCGCCCACGTGAAGAGGCGCTGCTGCTACGGCGCGTCGGCCGCCCGCAACATGGCCATCACCGCCCTGGACCACGCCTCCGCTCTGCAGGTTCGCCCCGCCGCTTTTCGCATCCCACTTTAGTCAGTCCTTACAAAAGACACCTCAATAATGCCGTTTTGTCGGTTGCAGTACACCCTGGAGACGTTCACCGAGCGGCGCGAGACGGCGTGGTCCTTCAGCCCGTACCTCGGCGACGAGGTGGACGGCTCCGACAACGGCCCGGCGCCCCTCCCCTGGGAGCTGGACGTGCGACCCAGCCAGTCGTTCGCCTCCGAGGTCAAGTGCCAGCCCGTGCCGCACACCTCGTCGGTCAAGCAGTGCCACCGCTGCAAGGGGAGCGGCTCGATCCTCTGCGCCGACTGTCACGGCAAAGGCTGGGTAAATAAAAGGAAAGGAGGCAAGGGGGAGTGGACCTAGATTTAATATAAAAAAACATCTGCATGGTTTTAGCTATGGAACTTTCAAAAATAAAATCCGTAAACAAATAAATTAGAGAAGTTAAAATGTACTCATGTTGCTTTGTTTTGCAGGTGCACTGTATATCGTGCCATGGGAATGGGTACGACACTGATGCGTCGGGGTACAAGGAGCGCTGCTTCTACTGTCACTCGTCCATTCACGGCAGAGGAAGGCAGGACTGTTCAAAGTGCAGCGCCAAGGGGAAAATGGCTTGCCCAACTTGTGAGGGTGGAGGACTTCTGCTCTGTTTTATCCAGCTGACTGTTACTTGGTATAATTTTCTATTTTGATGATACTCTGTTTTATGCCATGCTCTAGACAACATTTAAATTAATTTTTCGTTTAAATATATTTCATGTGACAGGAGGGTCAATGTATCCGAGCATATAGTTGATAGAATGTCTGTGCCAGAGGATCTAGTACGGAATGTAACAGGAGCGGTAGCCTTTGTTGAGGAAGGTGCAAGAGTTCTACCCATTGCCCATTTCCCTGATGAAACAGTCAACATGGCCTCTGCTCAGCTTCTTAGAGATCATGAACATGATTTCAGCACCCAGCGTATTCTGGCTCAGGTAAATACTGCAACACAATTTTTTCCCCTTGATTACATTTGTAATGTTTATTAACTTTCCTGCAAACTGTTTTTTCAGCGACATCAGGTCCAAGTGATTCCAGTGACAGGAGCAACATACAAATGGAAGAGTAGTAAGGGTGAATTTTATGTATATGGTAATGAACAGAAAGTTTATGCTCCAGACTATCCTCAAACATGCTGTTGTGGTTGTACTATTTTATAGGTTTTTAAGTTTATTTGACATATTTTTATGGAGAAAGGAAATATCTTGCCATTATTTTATTTTTAATACTTAGGCATGTACGTTTGAAGAATCTATTGAACCATATTCATTCATTATAATTGCCAAGTTCCCATTTTGTGGGAAATGTTGCCGTCCTTATAATACGTACTGTTGTAATTACGTCTCTATTAGTTTTAAGTGTGATGTTAATTTTTTCTCATTGTTTAAGTTTTAATATTGTGATTGTTTTCACTGTGCTACTGTGGTCGAGACCTGCAACTTTCTCATAAATTTAAAGAACAAGTGCTTGTTTACAATGTGAATGCTTACATTTCACATGAACTGTATTCTAGCTTTATTATTTCTATGACTGTGGAAGTGCACAGCATCATCTTTTCTTGTTTTATTTGTTTCATATGCACTTGCTGCTTCCTTTTTATTTTCAAATTTTGATGTTGCTGTAATTAATTAGTTTACCACATAATATCCTGCCTATGCTAAAATTATTTTTTTTTGCAAGAAATTGCTTCACTTTAGATCCTACTTAACCTGTGGTTGAAGACTGATTTTTATGTGTACACATCACATGCGGAGTAGTGTGCTAGAATATTACTTTTAACGATGTGAACAGCAGTTATCTATTATGTGAGTACTGCTGTATTCTTGAGCTCAATTAACTGTGGGCCAGGAAAGTGGAAATTATTGATCTCACTGAGTAGCATGATGTGTATGTTATGGTTATAGCGAGGTGCCCGGCCCGGCATAAACCTAGTACTAGTATAGGACCCACTGGCTAAAGCTAGGAGTGTCTAGACCTATTGGGTGCATAGTGGAACTGACGAAAGAATAGTACTGTTGCCCGTAACTTCAAAACTCGATACGGGCCTGTTCTTTCGCCAGACTCACTGTAGCATTTGATTGAACCTGGAAAAATGATAGAAAATTGAGGGAGCGTATATTTGTAAAAATAATAATATTTATTTGTTCTTGCAAGATGTGCTGGAGTGACATTAGCTGTTGCACTTGACGCTCCAATACATAAAGGAGCACAATAAAAGAAACAGTAATAAGAAAAGTAATAAGCAGCACTGCTCATGCCTGTTGTATTCCTCGTTTCAACTAATAAAGTGGCTAGACACATCTGGCTGAATCTAAGAAAAAGAAAACTGGCTACACTTGTTGCTAGATTAGCTGGGCACCCCATAACACATTCAAGATAGAGCTTCCTTGTTACATTTGCTTTAATTGTTTGATTTGAAATATTAATGTAACTCTGTTTAAATGTTTACTGTTGTTATTTTTCAATGTAATTAACATATTGATCGGTGCTGATATATGTGTGAGACAGCAATTTGATACAAGAGAAATTTTTTAAAATAAAATTTCAAACAGCCATGATCATTTCTATCTTAGGGTGAGGATTGTAATCTACAACTTCAAAGTCTTCATACTTGAAGTCTTCGATGTTCTCCACATTTCTCTTGATTCTGAGCTTGGGGAAAGGTTTTGGTTCACGTTTCAATTGTTCTTCTAATGCAACCACATGATTTTTATAGACATGGGCATCTCCTAATGTGTGAATAAATTCTCCAGGCTAGAAATAAAAAGGTAAAAATTCAACATAGCTATTTGGACTAATAAGTGAACATTACAAATAATTTTAATACTGACCTTCAAATTTGTTACATGAGCTATCATATAAGTAAGGAGAGCATAGCTGGCAATGTTAAATGGGACACCCAGTCCCATATCTGCTGACCTTTGATAGAGTTGACAAGACAGTTCACCATTTGCCACATAAAATTGCACAAGGCAATGGCAAGGCGGTAAAGCCATTTTTGGGACGTCAACAGGATTCCATGCACACATGAGAATTCTTCTGTCATCAGGTCTATTTTTTATTTTACTGATCACATCACTCAGCTGGTCAATACCTTTGTTGCTGTAGTCAGTAAACATATCTACATATTCAGCACCAAAATGGCGCCACTGAAATCCATATACAGGACCCAAATCACCTGTTGATATCGGAAAGTACTTGTTATAATGGAAGGCCTTAAAAACAAAGTCAAATCAAATGCAATATTTCTACCTTCTTCTCTGTCGGTAAATCCCATAGAGTCTAAAAACTGTCTTGAACTATTTCCATCCCAAATGTTAACTTTCTTTTCTTGAAGTTCTCTGGCATTTGTTGAACCTCGAATGAACCACAGGAGTTCTTCTGTAATACCCCGCATAAAAACCTTCTTTGTAGTTAAGAGGGGGAAAATGCCTGAAAATAAAATAAACGAAGATGACACAGAAAACTAACATTTGTATGCCCCGAGTCAATAGTTATTATTATAAAACTAGAACAAACCATTACGAAGAGAGAATCGCATCTGGGCTCCAAATATTGAACATGTACCAACTCCTGTGCGATCCTCTTTAACATTACCATTTCGAATTATGTTTTTCACAAGATTTAAATACTGATATTCATCGTGAGGTGCGTCACTAATCCCATTAGTTCCGTTTTCACTTGAGGTCTCAGTTTTCATGGTTCTTTTTGTGGTCCAAGAGAGGAAGGGGAGGAGGGTTTCTAATGCAGGTATGAATCGTGAACGACACAAGACGACGATCATGTAATAGCGCCAATGACGATTTCAGAACACTCTCGTCGTTCAAACTCGTGCACTCTTTGAAGATAACTGTTACGTCCTTTTTCTCAACATTCAAAATTCAAAACACAAGTCAACGGTCGCCGGTCGCGTGCGCGTGCTTTCCCTCTCTTTCTCCATGGATCCAGGATCTCGATGACGCGCGCGATTTGAAATGGATAGAGAGGAGTGCCAAAAGCGCAAAAAGACAGAAAAACAGCTTGTGCCTTAATGCCTCAAATAGTCGAATTTAAGGTGAAAAAGTCGAATAAATATATATTCGTCGGTGTCTCACAGTTTACATCCTACACCGTACGATCCTCTATTTGTAATTACGCGGGTTGGCGAATTTGAAAAACATCTTTTCTTCAGGTATGAAAAATTTCATCCACGCTCACGCAGACGATTTTGAACTATCGCAGACTATCGGGTAAGGCCTCCACTTGCTTCTATTCTGTTTTGCTTCCAGCACAAAATTACTCTAAAGTAAGAAGCAAAGAAGTGCAGTTTAAATTTAATTTAGTTTTAAGTGGTTTGAAAAGTTGAGTCTGTTTCTCCCTCTTTCTTACAAGGCGCCGCTACGTCCTGGCAGGAAAATTACAAACATGGCGCACTCGTATCGAAGTGTCTTACTTTACTGTGAAAGCAACCGGCCCTCTTGTATGCGGTTGTCCCTGCGTTCGTAAGATCCGTGTCACTCACGTTGGCAAACGCCCGCGCCGGCCGCCCATTTTCGTTTCCGAGGGGGCGATGATGGCGTTGGCGTCAAACCGTCAAACGGGGCCGGGCGGCAGCGGCAGCGGCCCGCGCTCGCGCCCGCGGTGGCATGGAGGCCGCGGAGGCCCCGTCAAGCAGCTGCCTAGCGGGCCCCTAGCACCGCTCCCTTAACACCAGGAGCAAGAAGAACATGCCCACCTCCCCCCCGAGAGGCCGACGACGCAGATGGAGTCCTTCATCACCTATTTCCCCGAAACGTCCACCATCTTGTTCGGGCGAGCATGGGAGCCGAGGCAGCGGGGCGGCGTGAGCGGACAGGACACCGGCTATGAGGTGAGTGGTGGGTCCTCACCTAAGGTGTATTTTCATTACACCTATATCCTCACCCCCCCACACACAACCACGGTCACGTGGCCGCGGCCGATGCACCGGGGGTGGGGGTGGGGGCACACGGCACACTTCATTGAGGGCTTCGAGGGTGTGTCGGCCGGCCGGCGAGCGCTCACGCGTGAGCAGCTGGCTGCCTCGTGTTATTTGCGGATTGGCCGTGTTTTGGTGACGGGCGCGGACACGGCGTGGAGCGGTGTGGCGCAGCGTGGCGCGGTGATTCTTGGCCGCGGTCCGCGTGGGGCGGGGCTGCTGCCGCCCCCTCTCGCGCCCCGTCAGCTGTTCTAGTGTCACTGCGGCGGCCAGTGTGCCCGGCCCGCCGCGAGGACAGGACGCCAGGAGCGACGCGTCAAGGCGGGCTCGACGTCGGTTGAACCGCGCCGGGGGTGTTTGGCGTGCACCCCGCGTTTACCCCCCGCAGTACCCCGCTCGGTTGCCCGCGGTACCCGCGACGGTACCCCCGGGGCGTTACGTGCGCTGCCACCCTCTCCGCCCACCCCCAAGTGCTCCCTCCCCCGCAGCGCCCGGGCTCGCCTGGTGTTTCCTCGTAGCTCCCTTCGCGCGCGGTGGGTTCTGTTGCCGCCTGGCCGGCCCGCGGGACACACCACCAGCCAACGGGCGCCGCTCACGCCATCCCCGCCACCCCGCGAGAAGAAGCTCGTGAAAAGAAAGCTCGGGGCGCAGCACAGCACAGCACCGCGAGCAAGGCGCTCAACTGAGCCAGCGGAGAGGGGCAGTGCGACGACCTCGTCCCCCCAACCCCGGCGGGGAGAGCGTCGCCGGGGTCCTGAGCATGAGCTAGAGGCGGACACGCGCGCCGGGTGGACGAGCGGCCTGACAGGTACGTTACTGCTGCTGCACGCCGTCGACGGGACGGGGGCGCCCTCGGTGCTACTGGAGGGCTGGTTGGGCGCCGGCGAGGCGAGGACCCCCCGCGGGCGCCCGGGCTTAGCCGCCGCACTGCAGGTGTCGGAAATGGCATTGCTGCACCACACATCCGGCACGAAATGGCAAAGACTGCACGTGGAGTTGGCGGGCGCACCACCCGGGCCCGGGCAGCCTCGAGGGTGTAGCGGGCGAGCCCAGCACTACGTTGCTCGCGCTCATGGGGGTCGCCGCCGAGGTGCTGCTGCCCAGGAGGGGCTGCGCCACCTGCCTCATCTACCGGGTACGGCAGAGTTAGGGTAGTGTCGGGGGGACGTGCGAGAGGTGTGTGTGTGTGTGTGTCTGTGTCTCTCTGTGTGTCTGTATCCGTTCACAACCGGCGCGGTCGCCCGTCGTCGCCTAGGGCGCGGGATTCATCCAACCTCAACCTCCCCAACCCCAACCCCAACCACTACCTCTCCCTCCCTCCCTCCCACCCTCTCTTACACGATAAAGACTCGCCCTTTGCAATTGGCTTGTCGCGCTTTCTCGCTCACCTCACGCCCGTCAGCCGCACAAGTGGGCGGGAGGGAGCGAGACAGAGGGGCGCCCCCTTCCCCCCCCCCTTCCCCTTCTCTCTGCCCCGCCGCCGCTGCGGGAGTGACGCTGACGGCCCCGATGGGGCGCGGGTGGCGCGCCTTCCCACGCGCCCCGCCCCGCCACAGGCAAAGGGTGCTAAAGGGTGGACAAGCCGCACCGCTGTCAGAGTGTGTGTGTGTGGGGGGGGGGAGTGACCTAGTTCGAAGAGTGCCGGCCCTGCACTGGAAGGGTTGTGGAGATGGATCATTCCTACCACCGGTTTAAGTTTGGGACGCCTAGCTTATACTCACTTTTTTACGGTGGCAACTGTGAAACACTTTCACTCGATGGATCCACACTGAAAATGCAAGTGTGTGAATGTCGCTCACTTGCAGGTGTGTGAATATCTATTCGTACACTTAGAGGGGTAAAGGTGTGAATTTTTCCTAGAAAATTCACACGTTTAACCCCCTAAGTGTGCGAATGGACATTCACAAACCTGCAAGTGAGCGACATTCACACACTCGCATTTCCAGTGCACCATCCCTCAGGTCAGTGCTGTGCGGCGCCCGTAGAGAGAAAATAAAGCTAAAACTAGCGTAAAGAGAAGTGTCGCACGCGGAAAGTGTTAAACGCATGTGTGTAAGTTAGCGTCCTCAATGCGTTTCCCGATTTGCGCCCTCTGACACCCACGCCTTTGCCATTTTCTCGGAGGTACTCGCTTGAGGGTGTGAAGCGGGGCGTGGCGTTGGCGAGCGCCTTTGGCAGCCGGGGCCGCGGCCGCTGCAGTGCGAGCGCGCGCCGAAGGCCCTAAAGACCCCCGAGATGTTTGCGTCCCCCTCATTCGTCTTGCTCGGCCGCCGCACGTCTCGCCCGGCCCCACGGCTCCCCACGCCACGCGAACCGTTTTCTGCCAGCTGTTTTCGCCAAATTCCCGCCCCCCGAGTTCGCAATATGAGAGCGCGGCTTGCAGTCAACCACACCGCCCCTGGCAGCCCCGGGCCCGACCCGCGGCGATGGAGAGGCCAGCTGCCGCGCTAATAAAGCCACATCAGCTGCCGGACACGTCGACACTTCTCTGGGTCGTCCTGTTTCGCGCCCCGTTTGAAAGTGGCGCCATGGCGCGGCGGCGGCGGCGCCACCGCCACGTCGGTGAGCCCCAGAGGCGCGTGCAGCGCGGAATATTACGCTCTGCGTCGCGGGCGGATCGGGACTCGAGTTATTGTTCCGACCATCGCGTTTGTTCCAACCGCGCGCTATAGGCAGACTAGCCTTAGGTCACACTTTTCCTCTCCCTCTCTCGCCCGCGATCTCCTATGCTGCCCGTGCTTCAAAAAGTGGGACCTTAGGCTAGACTCACTAACGCGCCGTTCTTGCCGACTGCCGTCGTGTTGGCTGCCCTGGCGGCGGACAGACGACAATCAGCAGACGAGACTTTCCGACCCGGCCGGCCGCCGCCTCCTCTCCGCTCGCATCACTCGCATCTGACATTAGCCCGCTGTCGCCCGGAGGAGTAAGAAAGGAAGACCGTCGTCCGCCAGAACACCCAGAACACGCAACCACGCCAACATGTCCAAGATCGTGAAGAAGATCATCAACACTCCTCTGGCCGCCGCCGCTGTGGCCCCCTACAAGTGAGTACGACGCCGAGGACGTTGCCGACCTTGAGGCGCGGGTGTTTCATTTATCTTGTTTGCATTTTCACTCGTGCGCCGCGGCGCCGCGGCCGCGCGTTGTTTGAATCCGCCTCGGCGGTGAGCTCGGCTCGGGTCGCCGAAAGGCGTCACGTACAAGTCGACCTCTGATCGCGATGATCACGACGTGATGCAAATGCAGAATGCAATTAGACGCCATTTATCGCACTTATGACAACGAACAATAATAACACGTTCCCCCTATCGCCCCGCAGCCAGGCGGTGCTCGCCGGCAGGACTCTGTACTGCTCCGGAGTGCTGGGCATCGACAAGGACACCAAGCAGCTGGTGCCGGGCGGCACCGTGGCCCAGGCGCGACAGGCCTTCGTCAACCTCAAGCACACCCTCGAGGCGGGAGGCTCCTCCTTCGAGAAAGGTAAGTGAAGTGAGGGAAGCGTTTTGTTTGGTTTGTGGTGCTGCTTCCGAAGGAAGTAGATTGTCAGATCAATACGTAACCACATCTCCCCCCCCCCCTTTTGGCCGTGCCTTAAACTGCTCCTGACGTAATAAGGTGACGTAATGCTCCTGTGAATCTGTCAAACTCTTTAATCGGGTATATCCTTGGTATATCTGGTCTGGGTTTGAGTCTGGCGGCGCGGGCGCGTGACGGATCTGGTTCTGATTAGATACGCCTGCTGCGGTCCGCTGCTCGACCCCGTGTGCGCCTGGTTATCGCGGACACGACCTTTCTCCCGCGACCCATACCAGTTTATATATATTTAGTCACCACTTTAGAGCATCGCTTGTGACTGGAAAATTTTTACACCATTGTCTGTTCACTACTTGCAGTTGTGAAGATGACGGTGCTGCTCCAGAGCTTGGACGACTTCAAGGACGTCAACGAAGTCTACACCGAGTGTAAGGATGGATGGCGCACGGGAAGAGGGATGGGTTGCTGGCCCACTCGCCCGCCCTTGTTTGTGGCGTTTGTAATTCACTGACGTGAAGCTGAAACACTTAATTTTCCTGCAGATTTCAAAAAGCCATACCCAGCCAGAACAGCCTACCAAGTTGGAAAACTGCCATTGGTGAGTGACTTACGGCCTCAACCCCCCTCCCCCCTCCTCTGAGGATTCTCTCGACGTGTTTCTCGGTCTTGTAGATTTAATCGTGCTTGCCTGAAAATTTGCTCACTTGTTTGTAACTGTTTCGTTGTCTGTTCAGGGAGCCGCCATTGAGATGGAGGCGATCGCTTTGGTCGGAGAGGTGGAGACCGTCGAATAAACAAGTTATATTACCTCGCCTTTGCCCCGTCTCTGCAGTCTTACCGTCGTACCTATATATCTACCAGTCTGTACCATAACCTGATAAACACCAAATATACGTTGTTTTATATTTTTAATAAAACTCCGCAATATTTTATTTTCACTCCGAAATCAAGTGAACGCTCTTCACACTGTCAAAAGATTAAATTTAAGTGTCACAAATACACGTTATACACGCCGTACATTAAAATAAAAATATGAAAACGTTAATTGTATGGTCCGGCCGGTTGTGTGACGATTCCCCAACACCATGCTCTGCTGACACTTCTGGCAGTCACTCGTTTTGGCAGCGCCGCTAATAACCAGAGCGGGGACCCAGCGTTGCTCTTTACTTCAGAAATGCCGCCCGCGGTCCTAAACCACTCACTGCTTTGGTTCTGCTTTGATGGCTTTGGCACCCCGTCTTCTCCGTCCGGACTGTCCGTTCAATGCCGGCTGTGTGAGAATGCCACCCCGTACCCTGTCAGAAATTTACCGTCGAGACTTTGCCTATTATTCGTCGATTTCGATAAAAATGAGGACCTCAATTTTGAAATTTTTTCTTACGGATACTTTTTTTTTTATTTTCTATTTTTTACACTTTGGGTAAAATTACGTCCACCGCATTCCGCCTCCAACTTAAATACCCACGATACCATTTTAAAATAGACTTTAATGGTGTTGTTTCCCGATGGACAAAGTATCACTGTCTTTTTCTTTCAATTTATTAATTTTAACTTTGCGTTGTGTGCTGTGACTTTGGAGAACGTGTGTCCTGTGCAGGGCATGCACCGCGCGACCTGCAGCCGAAGTGATAAAGATCGTCAAGATCACGATGCCCGCGGTGCTCTCTGCGGAGGGCCGGCTCCTCGGCCGTTTAGCCAGCTGTTTGGATCAGCTGTGCTCAGATCGCCGGCTTTGGCCGCCTGCCCAATATGCCGGTCCGGACGGGGCGCCCGCAAAGCGCGCGCGAGATTTTGGGGTAGAAAAAAACGGAAAGAAGGAAACGTTTTGAAACTCCGCGAAAGTTTGACTTCAAAGCGCTGCTTTCAAGAGAGGATATTTTCGCCACTGTACGGGCCGTTTTCTGCGAAAGACTCCTGGCGCGGGTTTGCGAGCGCACACGTGCGTGCGTGCGTGCGAGGGTGGAGAGGGCCTGGCCCGGCCACACGGACGGGCTGCGTCCTCCCATCATCCTACTGCGAGACAACCGGGAAGCATCCCTCCCATGTTTCATTTTCAGACGACGCGGCAGTATACGAGCGCAAGGCCGCGTGATTTTTCTTTTAATGACGAAAATGCGGGCTCGTCTCGGGCGAAACCCAGCCCCGGTCTTCTGGCACGGGCCCCTCTGTCCCTGCTACCCGAAGGGAAGGGACAGACAGAGTGAGTAGGCGGGCTTCCGAGCGGGCGAGGAGTGGAAGACCGTTTGCTTGATCTGGGGTTGGAACCCCGTGGCAGGGCAGGACCGAACCGAGCCGGAGTGCAAAAAGCATCGCAGAGAGTAGTTAGAGCGGGAGTGTAGCGCTCGCTGGTAACTTGAACTAGACGGGTGTGGCGCGGGGGGTTTGCTAACTCCACCCCTAAAATAGACATCTCATTTTCATGAAACTCACGTTACTAAAAAAATAAAGGAAATATTCCACTAACAAGTTAAAACTTTGCAAGTCTTTCCACTTCAGAGAAATAACACTGCTTCGGTGGTAAGATTGTTGATTATAGATTCAAAAGAGAAAAATAATAGGTTAGTTGGACACCCAATGAATTGTGCACTATAATTGCTTAGTACACTGGCTGTGGCGTCCATTCCCAGCCCCTGCAACCTGCAGCCCGCCGCCGGTCGGGGCCGCGTCTGAGACGGGCGTCCGCGTGCATCCCGCGGTATTTTCTCTCGTTCTCTCCCACCCGCGGGAACCGCGGTCACCCCCGAGAGAGACGGAGGTCGACGGGGCCGCTCCGGACGTGGCCCTGAAGTTGGTCTACAGGAGCACGCTGCGGTGGCGAGCTCCGGGTCGGTCTGCCGCGAGGCACCGCCGTCGAGGTGGCGGGAAATTTGTCCAGGAATTGAGAAGGGGAAGTTGATGTTGTGTAGCTCGGTGCTGTTCGCGGGGCCCTGCGGCTCGTTGGCAGCCCAGCTCCTGCCGACGCTTTTGGCCCTCACCTCACCCCCGTTGTTTTTATGGGTTTTGCAGGACAGACTCAGGATGGCGGACGACGGCCAGGCCGAGGTGCTGCTGGACCGGCTGCGCGCGCTCGCCGCGGACCGGGACGGCCACAAGGACGGCGCCGGCGTGGAGGCCCTGCGCGTCGTGTCCTCCAAGCTGCACGCGCGCACCATCGCGCAGGGTGAGTCGGCCTGAGCGACGCGGCGGCTCAACATTCATGCAGAGGAGGAATTGCAAGCCCGTGACAGCTTGCTTTCGTATCTTTACCAGATGGCTCGATAAGCATATCACGGTACTCAAGTATAGAGAGAGCCCGGACACGAAAGCGCTTTCGATGCCCTTTTCCGCGTTGCGAGCACGCTCTACAGGAGACCACTAAAGAGGAGGCTCCTCCGCTCCGAGAGCGCCCGGCAAGGCTCGGGTCTCGGCAGCCCGAGCGCTCCTGAGCGGAGCCGGCGGCCTACCCCGGCAACTGCAGGCGCTCGGAGGGGAGGGCGGCGGGCGGAGCGTGGCGGAGCGTAGCTGGGGAAAAGGACCCGAGTGATACACATTGTGGCGGTGCGGCGGGAGCTGCAGCGAGTCTGGCGGCCGGTGTGGCCGCGACCCTGGCCGTAGCCTGGCGGGGCGTGGCGGGGCGTGGCGGGGCGGGGCGTGGCGGGGCGTGCCGGCTAAGTGCACGGCTAAGTGCTGCGAATGCACGGCACGCCCCGCCCGGCGCGGCGCTCCCTCGGCCAGGGCCAAGGGCCGCATTTAGTTTCGTCTGCAGTGGTGGTGGGGGCGGTGGGGGGCTCAGCTCGAACAGCAATGTCATTGTCGCGGTGGGGGTGCATGGAGG